TCCCTCGGGGAGCCCTCTTGGGCCCTCTGGGTTTCTGGGGCGGGCTTCGTGGAGTCGTCTTCTGCCGAGAAGGTGAAAAACGTGGGGATCTCGAAAGGCATCCCAAACCAAACGTTGCTGGTAATGTGGGGTTTCTTGGCCGTCCTTCAGGCGCCATCTTCGACCGTCCTTCAGGAGCCTTGCGCCGTGTTGTGTTGGGCAATCTTAGTGCGCCCGCGCCCGGGACAGGCCGTTCGCGACTCACGTTGCGCCACCTCTGTTTCGGTGTATACAGGGGGGCTGGCTGCATCAGTGTATCTGCATCGTCCAGATGCACATTACTTGGCCGCAACAGAACACTCCTTGGAAATGTGAAAGACGCTCCCATGATGACCCAGAGACAACGCCAATACTAGAGGCCTCCTAGACGGGGTCCGGGTAGATGGGGTCGACGGATCGCGCCGCATCGCCAACGCATCGGCGATGTATCGGCGATGCATCGGCGACGTCGGCGGTACATCGGCGACGCCAGTGTGGAACATCGTGCGGCGCATCGAGCTGCATCGGCGATGCGGCGCGATCCTCCGACCCCATCTACTCGGACTCCATCTAGGAGGCCTAGAAATACGCCATCATACTGCGAGAGTTGCATCCTGCCCGGGAGCTGCGGACACCCTGTTTTCGTATTGACGCGGCGTATGGCTGCCTGGACTAAGCCTATGTGGGTGAAATGCGTGAAGGAAAAGCGGACACCGTCTGGTGACCACGCAGCATGGATCTCTTGCTAGGCTTCATCGGGGGGCAGGGGGGTGGAACGCCTCCTGAGCCATCCCCCCCTGGCCACAGTCGCAGGGAGCTCGTGCTCGCGGGGCTCGTGCGCAGTCGGGCGAAGTGACAGAAATCCGAGGAACACTCGCGGCTGCGATCTATGGAACGTTGAATGGCAACGAACATCGCCAACAACCACTAAGTGGCTTTTCTATATTCCCGCGCATGGAAGGCCCACCACACGTGCAGACCCGATTGCACGGACTAGGTCCAAGCGAAGAGAACAGGCCAGACGGTACACCACAAAACGGTGGTGGTTGCTCGAATCTACCAAGGGGGCAGGAATCACGCACGGCTGCACTCACGTGCGGGACATTCTGAGGCCAAGCGCTAAAAGTACATGCCAAGGCCAACTGACACGCATGGTCCTGCGTATATGGCCCGAACGCTGAAAACCACTGTGGCCAGACCTGTACCCAGCTCGCGCACAGGCCGGCCGCATCAGCGAGCACCGTGCCTCTTGGCAGACAGGCCGAAGCTCCACATCCCATCGGCGACAGGAGGCCCTTGGGGAGAAACAGGGACAGCACACAGCAGGGACAGCATAAGAGGTATGCCTTCCATATGGGTGCACGGCCGCAATTTGAAATTATAATTCTTCCGGGCGCCTGCGGCGGAGCTTGGAGGGATGGAGGGTAGGAGTTTAATTTGCACGAGATTCCCAATAATGTCTGCGAAACAACTTCGAACGAACCCGTTCAATTCACGCGAGCGCCAACTACTACGAGAGCGGCAGCCACAACGGCGACTGCTATCCTCGACCCCCGATCCCCCAACGACGATGACGACGAGGTCCTCTCGGGCGTCCCAGGAGGGCCACGGCGATCCCAGGACGCCGCCAGGGGTCTTCAGATGGTCCCAGACGCCTCTGGAGGCCAGAGGAGGCCCAAAGACGTCCAACCTCCATTGCCTCCTCCTCGTCGATCCACCTCTTCAGAATCCGATCAGTTCGATCCCCGGACCCCTGTCGACTACACGAAAGAGTGACCCTTCGCTAGAGTGACCTTTGGTGCTGGTCCCAAGGGGTTCGGATGGCTTTTCTTTTGGAATGGGCTTGACCTCGCGGCGGCACCCGTATCGCGTGATTGCGCTCGCATCTGAGCGCGCAAGGTTTGGCCCCCCCCTTCAAACGACACCAACGCATACGCGGCGCACCCTACAGTGTGTTTCAAATTCCTTGGGGGGGTCAGTGGACCAGGCGGTGCGATTTGTCAACCTTCGTGAATCGTGGATGCGCGCATTCTCCCGCCAATCGTGGATGCGGCGCAGCAGTACTGGCTTGCGCGGTTGCGTCGGGCCCCCAGGGGACGCCCCTGAAGATCTATGCGGGATGGAAGGGCTTGCCCCAAGAAGCTCTTCGGGCAAGTCCGTCCACCCCGCATAGATTTCTGACCGCCCCGAGCCCCGAAACGGGCTCCCAGCTATGCCGAAATCGAGGAAGCGCCTGCGGCGCGATTCGTCAACCCTCCACCCCCGCTGAGGATCGGGCCGGGCGAAAGTGGGGGATAGCAAGGGGGGGGTTTGAGAATCAGCTCACGTAGCTGATTTTCCCCACGCCTCCCGGCGCTGGGAGGTGCCCATGTGTCGAGGAATGGGCCCAGCGGCGGGGCCGAAACCAGCTGCATGCAGCAGATTTCGTACCCCCCCTTTCCCTATCCCCCCCTTTCGTTCGGCCCGAGAGGATCAAAGCGGACCAGCACCACCACCACCGCGAGGAGCCCGGGAGGGACGCCCCCCAGCGGTGCGGGCCCCTCCGGTTCTACGGCGCACCGCTCGAGACGCCTCCAAAACCTCTGGCTCGGTGCGCGCGGCATCCTGGACCTCCTGGCTGGCCACGTGCTCGAGAGGAAGCGACGACGCCAGGCCCAGGTATCCGGCCGCTCCGACTTTTTTTACGATGCGCGGGCCCTGGAGGTCTGGACCACTTACCTACAAGCCTCGTCAAACAGAAATTGAAACGCAGCTCAAATCGAAGCGCCCGATAGCTCGGGCACTTGTCAGAACACGCGCTCGTCAATGCTGTGAGGGCACTGCCGGATGTCGGACATCCCTGCGCCTGGGCCGAATACCTCATGCCAGCACCGAAGTCGCGCCCGCCACGCAAGCTCCTCCTCCTCAGCCTCCTCCTCCTCCTCCTCCTCCTCCCTCCTCCTCCTCCTCCTGCTCCTCCTGCTCCTGCTCCTCCTCCTCCTCCTCCTTTTCCTCCTCCTCCTCCTTTTCCTTATACATAACTCCCTGTCTCACCCCGAGGCCAGATTTTAGGGCGGGCCGGGCGTTTCGCCTGAGACTTCCTCACCATGTATGGCTCTGAAGGTTACACAGTGGCCACAGTTTCACAGATGGAGGGCGGGTCGCTTTCAAAATGTGGCTCTCGCCTTAGCGCGGCGCACATTCGTTTCAAACAATTGCAAGAGCTTCGCGGATTGAGGGCGGGTGGTTTTCAAATTGTGGCTCTCGCCTTAGCGCCGCGCACATTCGTTGTAAACATGTGCCAGAGTTTCACGGATTGAGGGCGAGTGGTTTTCAACATGTGGCTCTTTTCTTAGCGCGGCGCACATTGGTTTTAATACTGACTCTGCAAGTGTTTCATGGATTGAGGGCGATTGGTTTTCAAAATGTGGCTCTCGCCTTAGCGCGGCGCACATTCGTAAGAGCTTCACGGATTGAGGGTGGTTCCTTTCCAAAATGTGGCTCTCGCCCTAGCGCCGCGCACAATCGTTTACACAACTTTCAAGAGTTTCGCGGATTCCCATCATCACTGTAACAGAAATAGCGTCTTGGAGAGATTCTGGATTATGCGGGTGCAACAGTTATGTTGATTCTTTCTGTTGAAGTCCTAGGAATGGCTTTCTGGCACGATTCAGGATCGTCAAGACGCACAGTCAGGTTGATCCGTAGCGTGGGAATCCCGAAAACAATGTTTTGGCATGCTTCAGGCTCTTCAAACGTGTCTTCCAACGAGGAAGTTCTATCAATGGGAATGAACCGTTGTAGGGGCCTATTAAAAGGGAGCTGGGAGGGAGGGTTTACTCCATCATCGTTGATGACTGTTGGGTTTACACTGGTCCTCCTCTTCCTCCTCCTCCTCCTCCTCCTCCTCCTCCTCCTCCTTCTCCTCCTCCTCCTCCTCCTCCTCCTCCTCCCCCTCCCCCTCCTCCTCCTCACGACGAGTCTTGCAGGGCTGGCTTTCGCCCCGAACAACTCGTTGGCGGTCCCGGAGAGAGGAGGCTCTTAACACGTCGGCGAGGGCCCCGGGAGGAGGAGGAGGAGGAGGAGGAGGAGGAGGAGGAGGAGGAGGAAGAGGAGGAGGGAGGAGGCCAAGCAGTGAGGGAGGAGGAGGGAGGAGGAGGAGGCTCGCCAGCGAGGGCCCCCCGGAGGAGGAGGCCGAACGCGGCAGCACACGCCGGCAGCTCCAGTCTTTCCTCGCAGCGTCTGGCCTCTCTGGGGGGTCGCCCGGCCCTCCGTCGCGCAATGGTGGACCTCGGGCCCCCCGACAGCCCGACCCACTTCCCCTGCGGACAGGCTCGCGCCCAAGAGAGTCATGTAAAAGGGGCCCCAGGACACACAAATAGATACACACAGAAATAAAAAAAACAGATTCTCCCATGTTTTCTGGGTTCCTGTCTTCCCCCCCACTTCCCATATGTTCCCATATTTTCCTGGGAGTCACCGGTTAATTGTGTCTGTGTGTTTTTGTTCCCTCCTGACTCACGCCCAAGAAACATGGTTCGATGCCCCGCAGACCCTCGGAGGCCCAAGACAGGGGAGAATACACCCCGGGATGTGGTCGGTGGCGCAGGAGAGAAGTGCCCTCGTGCCCCCTTGTAGGCCAACTGGGGGAGGGCCGAATGGAGAGCAGAATCATCACCCTGAGAATCAACACCCCGACAAGCGAAGCCGTTTCGTAAACGCGCCCGAGGCAGGAATCCAACACGGCAGGGCTCTCCGGGAAACGCCCAGGCCCGTTCAGTAAAAACGCCAGCACGGGGGTTGGGGTGGTTTTCGGCCCTTGACCGAAGGTGCGCAGAAGGAACATCTCTCTCCACCCCCCTCGTTTATCGCCCGCCCCCTTGCGCAACGCCCAAGGGATCGAAATCTCGGATACTGCGGATGCCTGGGCCTCCTCTCTCGGGCCCTCGAGGTCCCCGACGGCGGCGCCGAGGCGGAGCGCGGCTTTGGCCAGGCCGGGGCGC